GTGTGTATTTAAATATTACATGCACACATAATTTTTAGTAAGAGTATACTTTAAATGCACCAAGAGCCAACTTCTAAAATTTCCTTTGTAATAAAAATTAATTTTCATCTCCTTAACCCAAGGAAATGCTGGTTTAACCTCTCTCAGGTGGCTGTTCATACTCAAGAAAGCAAAAAATTGAAACAGATTTCAGGCTTGGAAACTGAGTCTCATACACTTGAGTCCTTGACAAGTGTGCCCGTGGTTTCATTGGTTCAACTGGTATATGTCCTGCACTCTTGCAGGGAGCACATCTGTCGGGAATGCCACCCACAGCATGGGAAATGGCCTGGGATGTGTCCCACCCTTGAACTCTGAGCTGCCCCAGAAGTGAAGGCCCATGATTGATGGGTCCTTGAAAGGCTAGGGAAAGCATGTCACGGGGTGGCCCTCCGCTTTCTCCCTCTTTGCAGCTCCTCAGGGATTCTGTTCCTGAAGTTGAACCAGGCTCCTCTGGAGCAGTGGTTGTAGCCCTAGGGAGGGCCGAGGGCCTGGAACGCAGTGCACAGTAGGCCTTTGCTAGGAATTGTTGATGAGCAAACCAGCTTGGTAGCCACAGGAAGATGCTCTAAGAGAAGCAGGGTAAATGAATCCTCCCAGCAACCAAACAGGGACATCCAGCAAAAGACCTGATACCTGAAAGGTTCAAATGACCTCACCCCTCCTCTGCTCCCCATTGGTGCTTGGTTGTGTTTGTGGTTAATGTGGGAGCCCTGGACGGGGTTTCTGGTCCCAGCGCTGCTACTCACTAAGGATTTGGCCATGAGGCGTCACCTAGATCACCTAGACTCTGCGCAATAGTGTCCTTGCCTGCCAGACAACGAGGTGGAGACTGGGTTATCTTCACAGCCTTCTGCAGCCCTAAGTCCTAAGGATATGAATGTGATGACTTTTTCCCTTCTAGTGTTATTATGTTCACCCTTATATTAGTGTGCCAGGTTAGCTTTGGGCCCTTTATTTTAGGAGATATGTATAAATATTAGAAGAACAATGAGTCTGGGTAAGGGTTAAACAAGAAAGTGTATTGTGAAACATTGAATGGGGAGACTGAGTCAGTATTGTTAAGGCCTTTCTTGTAGGATGTCTTCCTACATGAAAGAAGGATTTTTTTTAAGAGAGGGGGTCTCACACTGTTGTCCAGGCTGGCCTTGAACTCTTGGGCTGAAGTGACTCTCCCATCTCAGCCTCCTGAGTAGTTAGGACTACAGGCTCATACCACCATGTCCAGCTCAGCCGGAAGGATTTTAAGAGGCTGCTGAGGGCTCTGCTCACCATGTACGCAAGTAGAGGAAATTTAAGAGGAGCTGGAGATTTGAAATGTAGATGAATCCCCCTTCTCAAGGAGAAGGCTTATTAGACATGGAAGTATGGCATCTCTCTGCCTAGACAACTTTCAGAACAGCAAATGGGCCAGATGTAGTGGCTCATGCCTGTAATCCCAGTACTTTGGGAGGCCAAGGCAAGCAGATCACTTGAGCTCAGGAGTTTGAGACCAGCCTAAGCAGCATGGAGAAACACCATCTATACAAAAAATGACAAAAATTAGCTGGGCATGTGGTGTGCACTTGTAGTCCCAGCTACTTGGTGGGCTGAGGCTGGAGGGCCACAGCCCTGGGAGGTCAAGGCTACAGTGAGCCATGACTTTACCACTGTACTCCAGCTTGGGCAACAGAAAGAGACTCTGTCTCAAACAAAACAAAATAAAAAACCAGCAAATGATGGCAGGGCTGGATTACTTGACCCCTTAAGATTTTCTTTTTTCTTTCTCTTTTTTTGACTTTTTCTTTTGACATAGTTTGAGACTCATAGAAAAGTTGCAAGAATATCACAAAAACTGCTGTATGTTCTTCACCCAGGTCCCCCCAATAGTAACACTTTGCCACGTTTGCTTTCTCATTCTCTCCTTCCCCCTCACTCTCTTTTTCTCTACCCCCACTCTACCACCTACACACAGTTGTTTTTTCTAACTTTTGAGAACAAGTTGCCAACCTAATGTCCCATATTCCTAAGTACTTTGACAGGCATATTTTAATTTTTTTCCTTTTTTCTTTTTTGGAGACAGAATCTCGCTCTGTCACCCAGGCTGGAGTGCAGTGGTGTGATCTTAGCTCACTGCAACCTCTGCCTCCCAGGTTCAAGTGATTCTCTTGCCTCAGCCTCCCGAGTAGCTGAGACTACAGGCACCTGCCACCACGCCTGGCTAATTTTTTTTCTTTTTTCTTTTTTTTCTCTTTTTTAGTAGAGACAGGGTTTCATCGTATTGGCCAGGCTGGTTTCGAACTCCTGACCTTGTGATCTGCCTGCCTCAGCCTCCCAAAGTGTTAGAATTACAGGTGTGAGCCACCGTGCCCAGCTTAATTTTTTCTTCTTTTGAGACAGAGTCTTGCTCTGTTGCCCAGGATGGAGTGCAGTGGCATGATCTCAGCTTGCTGCAGCCTCCACCTCCCAGGTTCAAGTAATTCTTGTGCCTCCACCTCCTGAGTGACTGAGACGACAGACACGTACCACCACACCCTGCCAATTTTTTTGTATTTTTAGTAGAGACGGGATTTCACTGCATTGGCCAGGCTAGTCTCAAACTTGTGGCTTCAAGTAATCCACCTGCCTCAGCCTTCCAAAATTTTGAGATTACAGGTGTGAGCCACTGGGTCTGGCTGGCATGTATTTTTAGAAATGAAAACATTATCTTATATATCTTGAAATTACCGTACAATACTATACAAATCTTACTCAGATTTTGCCAATTTGTCCCAATAATTTCCTTTATAGAAAAAAATAAAAGCTTGGATCACAGGTTCTCATCATTTGTCACGTCTCTTTCATGATCTTGACGTGTTTGAGGAATATGTTATAGACTGTCCCACAGATTGGGTTTGTCTGATGTGCTCCTGTGGTGAGATCCAGCTTAGCATCTTGGGCCAGCATTGCACATGAGGCTGCTGTGTCTCTCTCAGTGCCTTGCATCAGGAGTACACAGTGCTGATTCGTTCTGTTGCTGGTGATGTCCCACTGCTTTACCCACTGTCAAGTTTGTATTATTTCCTTTGTAATGAATATGTATCTTGGGGATAGAAGATACTCTGAGATTACATTGCTCTCTGTTACACATCAAACTTTTACCCCCTTAGATTTAGCCCCTTGCAAATCTTGATAGCTCGCAGATTCAAGTGGCCTTTTGAAGCTATATAGCATTTATAACAAACTTTTTGGTATAAAGGATTGATTTGATCAATAATTTAAAATTTGACCCTTGAGCCTTTCTTTCTAACCTTTTTTAAAAGTAAGTATTCTTGAGTAGAACCTACCAGGCTGAAGAGTTTGTGGAAGGAAGTATTAGAAAAATACTTTGAGAACCACCCACTGTCAATGAGTGGCCCAGAGCCTAGACTTAGGGTTTATAAAGCAACTGCCAGTCACAGAAGAATAAAACAACAAAACACAAGTGCTTCATACAATAGCAGTTTAGGCTTTTCCCTTTATTTAAAGTTAGTCTAAGTCATTTCCCATCAATTCATTTATTTAAGTGCAGAACTGAAAGACATTGAAGGTTACTTAGCTATTGAGGTTTAAAATTTTTTCTTAGATGTTATTGTTGAAAAGAGCTAAAAATGGCCTGAGTCACTTCCTTCTGCAGGCACACACTTCCTCTATGTGGGCTTCTAAGAGCACATTATGGTATTTATTTAAGATTGGTTTCCTACTTTTAAATTTCATGGAGAAATCTATCAGGGATATTATTCAATAGAATACTTTAGATTATTTTATTTCCCCTCCTGTTCCATTTTGTGTGCTATTTTTTCTTCTTTGTATGCCTGCTAGTGTGGCTACCACTTTCAAAATTACTTTCCTAGGCTGGGTGTGGTGGCTCACACCTATAATCCCAGGAGTTTGGGAGGCCAAGGCCAGCGGATCCCTTGAGATAGGAGTTTGAGACCAGCCTGGGCAACGTGGTGAAACCCCATCTCTACCAAAAAATTAGCCATGGTGTCATGTGTCGGGAGTCTCAGCTACTCAGGAGGCTGAGGCAGGAGAATTGCTTGAGCCCAAGAGGCAGAGGCTGCAGTGAACCAAGAATGTGCCACTGTACTCCAGTCTGAGTAACAGAGTGAGACTCTAGCTCAAAAAAAAGAAATTACTTTCCTCACAATCATAATTATAAAATGAATGGTTCTAGATCTCCTTGTTTCCTAATTAAATATTCTTCTTTTTTAAGAAAATTATTATTTTATTTTATTTTATTTTGGAGGTAGGATCTTACTGTATTGCCCAGGCTGGTCTTGATCTTGGCATCAAGCAACGCCCCCACCTCAGCCTCCCAAAGTGCTGGATTACAGACGTGAGCAACCCCAAAAATCTTTTTACTTTTCTTCTTTCTAATAACCACCTCCAGATAATCGTAGATTTGGTGACATTTCAAGCTTTTGTTCTTCCAGAGCCCTCTTTTCTTAGATGACAAGGAATAGTGCATCTTTTCTGAAGCAGCTACAACATAAACAGACCCTCGAAGGAATGAGGATTGAGGGTTATGTAGGAATGAGGGTTATGGAGAACGCTGTAGGCCAGTAGCACTATGCAAAAAAGAGTCGAAGGTCAAGATGCAAGTGGCATGCATCTGTGAGGCTGAACAGAGCCCGGGCTCAGGTGGGCTGAGGTGGAGGGCATTTGGAGTAAAGGAGACCAACCAAAGCAGGTAGCAGTCGTATTCTTCAATATGCTCTTTGAAAAACTGTGTATTCTAGATAAGCTAATGACTGATAAGCAGTAAGTCAACATGGTAGGAGATAGTTCAAAGGGATGAAAAGAATCAGGTAGATGGAAGTGATAAGATAAGGAAAAAATAGAGTCCAGGATTTTGAAGATAATCTAGGAAATAATCATGGGGTTTTTACTCACTGTGTTTGGCACACTTGAAAACTTAACCTTAATTAGTAAGTGTTGCTTTACTCTCTTTGCCCTGACAGAAGAAAACATTGAAACAGTTTGTGCTGCTTGCACACAGCTTCATCACGCTTTAGAGGAAGGAAACATGCTTGGAAATAAATTTAAGAAAAGAAGTATTCTCCTGAAGACCCTATATAAACTAGTTGATGTTGGTTCAGACTTGCTCAGCCTGAAACTTGCAAAAATAATTCTAGCAGTAAGTTGTTCTTTCCTCTGGTCTAGTAGACGATAGCACATAAAAGCTTTGTTTAATGCTTTATTTGTAATTATTACAAAGAACATTAGAAATGCAGTGTATTTGTTTAGATGCTTGGAAAAAATTAAGGTAATAAACTGACATCTCAGAATTTGACTAGGAAGTGTCATCTAAGGAACTAAGGCTGAGTACATAGAAAATGTTCAAAGAAGCTCTTAACATTTTTGGACTGCAACTAGGTTAAAAAAAAGGAAGGAAACAAAGGCAAGAAAGAAAGAAAGAGAAATAACAATAGGCAAATACATTCAAAACACTTACTCAAATAACTTGACTAGAGATCAGAAGCAGATGGTGCAGGCTGTGGTTTCTCTTGGATGCTTGATTCTGTCTTATGATTTAATGAATAACCAAGTAATTTAGACCACAGTCACAATAAACCAGGTGCTTTAGGAACCAGCGTGAAACTGAAAAACATCTGCGTGTGGTCACAGGAAGGTACCTCAGTGGTCATAGAAGGCTTTCACAAGGTATGAGAAGAAAAGGCCAGACACCAAAAAAGTCTGTAGAAACTGTGTCTCAAACAAAATGATAGCATTGTTTGAGGGGAGCACTTTGTTGTCACAGCCATAAACAGTTGGAACTAAAAGATAAGCCACAATTATTATAGAATGTTCTAAGAGAGCCGCTAAAACAAATGAATGAAGCTTTGTTTTCTTGGTTTCACACAAGTAAAAGCTTTGTGCTAATGCCTCATAATTTATAAATTTAGAATCTTACACAGTGAAGTGAGTGTCAGCATATTTACTATTAGTTAATAAGAATGCCACCTTTTTTTATTCTGATAATAAAGTCTTTCATAAAGCAGAATTTTCTGAGCATATATCTATGTAATATTGGGGGGAGACTACATTCTTATTTGGCTCTCAAACTATTAACACTTTTTTAAAAAATTGTGATATATGCTCAAGAAAGCAATACTTCTTTGAAATAGTGATTTCACGCCAGGGCTCTGGTGGTGCAGCAGCTGCCCAAAGATTGCCTTTGCTATTTTAATCTGGATTCTAGACATTTTGTTCCATACCAAGCCAAAGAAAGAGAGAGAGAGCAAGAAAAGAAAAAAAAGAAGGAAAGGAAGGAAGAAGGAAGGAACGTGAATTATTTTAATGCTTTGCAGAGAAAATATTGTTTTGGTTGTTAATGGTGTCATTCAAATTAATTATATATATGGCACAAAGTTAACTATTTTAGGGCAAAAGGCTAATGATCTGCCAGGCAGTGAACATGTTTTGAACTAAACATATGATTAGATACAGCCCTGTTGGTGACATTGACAGCCTTGCTGAATCAGGAGCAAGATGCTAGGCTAAACTCCAGAGTGCAGAGCTGGGTAGGTTTGCCTTCTGACTAACTGCAGAACCAGCAGTTCAGAAGGGACCTTCAAATCCATGCAGGCCAACTTCCCATCTACTGCCCAGCTCTCCTGTAACATTCCAGACAAGATCTTGTTTAGCTTAGGCCTTGGTGATGGTGTTTGATGTGAAATATTAAAAGACCACATCATAAGAACTGTTGAAGAAGAAAAAGGAAAAACTCAAGCTATATGGGACTAAGAAGTTTTTCAAAACTTCTCTCTGCCTATTTATTGGCAAATGAAAGTTTTCCAGACAGTCATCTTAATTTTAATCTTTGTGTCAAAAACTCTTACAAAATAATATACAAAAATATATAAGCTTAAATGTTACTGTATTAAGATTTTTTAAAGGAGCACAAACATATATATACAGTATGAGTGTGACTATATTTAGGAGGGAAAAAAATCTGGCACCCTATGTACAGGGTAAAAAACAGAAAAGAAATACCAATACCAACTGTGATTATATATAGTGGTACTATTATGAGTGATTTTTAAACTTCTCTTTAATTTGCCAAATTTACTTTAAATAGAATAAACTACTGTTTTAACATAAGAAGAAAACTACCCTACCACAAGAACCTACTTTGTGCCAAGGACTCTTCTTTCTTTCTTTGTTAAAAACAAAATCTTACTGCCACCCAGAGCTAGAGTACAGTGGCAAGATCACAGCTCACTGCAGTCTCAAACTTCTGGGCTCAAGTGATCCTTCTGCCTCAGCCTTCTGAGTAGCTTAGGACCACAGGCAGGCACCACCGTACCTGGCTAATTTTTAAAAAATGTTTTATAGCAATGAGGTCTCTCTGTGATGCCCAGGGTGGTCTCAGACTCCTAGCCTCAAGCAGTCCTCCCACTTTGGCCTCCCAAAGTGCTGGGATTACGGATATGAGCCACCATACCCGGCCAGAGACTCTTCTTGACACTGGAAATACATGTGAATGAACCAGCTCCTGCCTCCGGAGCTGCCGCTGTGGCAGGGCAGACAGACAGCAAGCATAGCAGGTGCCAAAGGAGATAATGAGAACTAAGGGAGAAAAATAAAGCAGAGTAAAGGGAAGGGAGAGTAACAGGGAATTTTAAAAATAAGGTAGTCCATATCCTTTGCATAAATGTAAGATTTTATTATCTTTTCATGTCTTAAAGTCATAATTTTACAGTTAACAATGAAGAAGCCATACAAATTTGCTCTGAGTGTAAATTGACATTATAGCAGGCCTGGAAATTGTGGGTGTTTTTTTTCTTTTCTTTCTTTGTTTTCTTCTTCTTCTTCTTTCTTCTTTCCTCTTTCTTCTTTCATCTTTCCTCTTTCTTCTTTCATCTTTCTTCTTCCTTCTTTCTTCCTCCTCCTCCTCCTCCTTCCTCCTTCCTCCTTCCTCATTCCTCCTCCTTCCTCCTTCTTCTTCCTTCTTCTTCTTCCTTTCTTTCTTTTCTTTCTTCTTCTTCTTTTTTCTTCTTCTTTCTTCTTCCTTACTTCTTCTTCTAATGAAAACTCTGATACAAGTATTTTCATTTTTTCTTTGCCAGTTTTTACTAAAAATGTAAGATTTGGTGGGAAAAAGGAAAGTGAATTGTATTCATTTTTTTCATAAAGTTTTATGAAGTATGGAACACATACTACACATAGAAAGAGTAATAAATTGTGGTTTTGACCTCAAGGACTCACAATCTAGTAGAATATAGTCAACCAATTCAAATACATTCCCAAATATTAGTAATAATGTAGATTTCCATCAATATGGAAATGTTCTTCTGTTTCCTTAAGTCTACCTATTTTCTGGGTTTTTGAACACTATCATTTTAAATACCTAATTAAACATTTTTTAAGGTTCCCATTTCCTGTTTTCCTCCTGAGAACAGAAGGAATCTCTATTCTGCTATGTGCTCCAGTTTCTGAAGCTTCCACAACAGTGTTCCCCAGACTTCAGTGTGCACATGCAGCCCCTGGGGATCTTGTAAAATGCAGCTTCTGAGTCAGTAGTGCTGAGTAGGGCCTGAGATTCTGCATTCCCAATACATGTCCAGCTGATGCCGAGATGGTTCTGTGACCTGTCTGAGGCATGCAGTCCTCAAGTGCAAATTGGGAATGACAATACCAAATTTGCAGGGTTGCTCCAAGAAAACGTTTGTAAGTGGCCTAGTGCAGGAGGGCATGCAGAAGCTGCGCCACAGGCAGTGCTCCCCTCCCTGGGCCCCTCCAGCTGGGGGCTGATCATGGCCATCTTGTTATCTTCTGCAGTGAGCAGCACAGTGTCTGGTACATGTCAGGTTCCCAGTAAATATTTGTGGACCAAACACAGAACAAATCTTTAACAAATATGCCTGACATTATATTATCTTTTTTTAAAACTAACTGAAAACTCATTGATAAGCATTATTTAAAAAATAACTTTAGGATGGGCGTGTGGCTCACGCCTGTACTCCTAGCACTTTTGGAGGCTGAGGCGGGTGGATCACTTGAAGTCAGGAATTCGAGACCAGCCTGACCAACACCATTAGCCGGGTGTGGTGGTGTGCACCTGTAATCCCAGCTACTCAGGAGGTTGAGGCAGGAGAACCACTTGAACCAGGGAACAGGAGGTTGCAGTGAGCCAAGATGGTGCCATTGCACTCTAACCTGGGGCACAAGAGTAAAACTCCACTTCCAAACCAACAAACAAAAACTCTAAAGATAGTTTTTAATAATAAATGAATCACCTATATGACCTATATGCCATCCTTTTCACACAGAAATAAGTTTTTGTTCAGATGACCTCATTCCTACAAATAGATTTTTATACCATTGCAATGAGGACACATATTATTTCCATCTAACAGTAGGTTATAAATGTTTCCCTTTTTCATGTTCACAGTTCTGCTTTTTTCTGACTGCTTAATAGGAATAGTGTTGATGCTCCATAATTTATTAAACTGTTCCCTAATATTGGATATTTGGGATGTTTTTTATTTTCCTTTTTTATTAGTTTAGATAAATACACAGCTAACTTAGACCATCTGATTCAGTCATCCTATACTTTGCTTTTTTAAATATATGTATACCTATTTCCTTATCACCCTGTGTTTAATTTATGTAGTATGATTTAGAAGGTAATTTTCTTTTCTTTTCTTTTTTTTTTTTTTTTTTGTGATGGAGTCTCGCCCTGTCCCCCAGACTGGAGTGCAGTGGCATGATCTCGACTCACTGCAACTCCACCTCCTGGGTTCAAGTGGTTCTCCTGCCGCAGCCTCCTGAGTAGCTGGGATTACAGGTGCGCACCACCACTCCCAACTAATTTTTGTATTTTCAGTAGAGACAGGGTTCACCATGTTGGTCAGACTGGTCTCGAACTCCTGACCTTGTGATCCACCCACCTTGGCCTCCCAAAGTGCTGGCATTACAGGCATGAGCTGCCGCACCTGGCCTGGAAGGTAATTTTCAACTTTGGATGTTACTTGCGATTATCTCAAAGCATCCCAGAAATCGGCCTTAAAAAGAAATATATGTATATTATCAAACAGTATTACGTTTAAATATTCTTTTATACAAATGATAAAAAAAGACTAAAACTTCCCCCTTTCTTTTCTTTCCTTCATCTCTACTATGTATTCCTTTCTAAATTAATGTGAAAATTTGGTATTCATCTTCCTCTTCTTTTCTGTTTTAATACAATTACCCTAATTAGTTTATTAACAGTGTACTACACCCCTTTTTTCCTCATATACTCCTTTAAAAGTAGCCAATAATTGCACATATAAATATGAGACTGGCTCACACTTGTAATCTCAACACTGGGAGGCTGAGGTGGGAGGACTGTTTGAGCCTGCTAGTTTGAGATGAGCCTGGGCAACATCTCTACAAAGATGTTTAAAAATTAGCCAGGTACAGTGGCGCATGCCTATAGGCCCAGCTGCTCTGGGGGCTGAGGCAAGAGGTCCAATTGAGCCCAAGAGGTCAAGGCTGCAGTGAGCTGTGATGGCAGCATCACTGCACCCCAGCCTGGGTGAAAGAGCAAGACTCTTTCTCTGAAAAAAAAAAAGAAAAAAGAAAGAGAGATTTTATGAAGAAATATGGGGAACAGATTGGAGGTTCCTCAAAAAACTAAAAATAGACCTACCCTATGATCTTGTAACCCCACTGCTAGGTACATACCCAAAAGAAAGGAAATCATTGTATCAAAGAGACATCGGCACTCCTATGTTTATTGCGGCACTATTCACAGTCGCCAAGATCTGTCATTACAATGTTTTACTCTAAAGATCATTTATATTGTCTTTACTATAATTGAGTTAATTAGATATTACAGTTAGCAAATAGGTAGTCTAAATTTTTCAAAGTTGATTTCTTTAGAACTTCTCTTCATGTTTAAAAATACTCTTGCTGTACTTTAAAAATAGATATTTGTGGTTTATTTTTTAAAAAATACAGCATGTCTTTATTTCCTTCTGCAATAGAGATGTGTTTCTTTCTCTGCAGCTTAAAGTGAGTAGAAAGAATCTTCTTAATGTCTGCAAACTTATATTTAAAATTAGCAGGAATGAGAAGAATGATTCTTTGATTCAAAATGACAGCATTCTGGGTGAGTGTCATTCAGTGCTATTATTGAGCAAATGTAATTGCATAAAAATTAAAAGTCTGGAGAGAAAATGTATGATCTATGATAGCAGGAATATTTTGTTTTCTAGAAAAATGCAGAAGTTATGTGATGCTAATTTTTACTTTGTGCTTCGCTGTTTTCCACATTCAGTTGAATGCATTTGCTCTTTTCCTTCAACACCTGTAGTAACATTATGTGGCTTTATAAAGTGTTCCCCATTTAAGAATTCATTCCTGGACTTGGATTTAATATCTAGAAAAATGCATTTAATAGTATTTGACGTAATTGAAAATTTTAGTCTTTTGATATACTAGGAATGACTAAAAGTTGAAAGACATCTGTAACTGTTATAGAAATCTGACATTGAAATGTTTCAAATTTGTAGGTAAGGAAGTTTTCTTACACCTTATCTAGCTAATGCCTAACTTTTGTTGTATTTCTAAATAATTAAGGCACCTGATTTCCTAAATGAAAATCTTTTTATGAATTAATATTGCTGATATAAGAAAAGGCAGCAACATGGAAAATACTTTGAATTCTCTTTTTGCAACATAGGATAAATTATCTTTTCATTGCCCCTAGCAGACAGGAACAAAACCGGTACTGAAAGAAATGTCTAATGTTGAATCAACTAAATAAAAATTGTAGACTGAAAATAATAATTGCAAATGATTAAATTGGCATTAATATAATTAAATGTGAAGTATGCATTATTATTGACCTTATTGGATTTGCCTGGATTACTCATAAAACCAAGTAGTGGTATGTTATTTGAATAGATGCTCTTAAGTTGTCTTGGGAAAAGGATAGGCATTATATTCAAGTTATCTTTTTGTATCGTGACTGAGACTTTGTTTTCAGCCCCTGTCATTAGTTTCCCACTAATAATACAGCCACAACTATAATCTTAAAGGTTTGTTGAAGTTTAACTCTTAAATTTATTAGTATTCTATATCTCAAAATTTTTATAACAAGAAAAGGCCAATAAATAATTAGTAAGAGGCAAGGAATGACATTAACTAAAAGAATAATTTCTCATTTATTAACAATCCCATCCTTTTACTGAAATTACTACTACAGAGATTTGTCTTAGCTAAAAGTAAGCCTTTCTCTTTATACTATATGAGTAATTCTTAATAAGCACTTCAATGTAGGTTTTGATAAACATATTTTACAAATTGTATTTGAAGTTCATACACAAGTGCCTTAGTATATTTCTCTCCAGGTGTTAGACATTTATAATAATTCATCTTTTTGACAGAATCATTATTGGAGGTACTAAGAAGTGAAGACCTGGAAATGAACATGGAAGCTTTTTTATACTGTATGGGGTCTATAAAGTTCATTTCTGGAAATCCAGGATTTCTTAATGAAATGATCAGCAAAGGTGCTGTGGAAATACTGATAAATTTGGTAAAGCAAATAAATGAGAACACCAAGAAATGTGGTACATGTTTGCCTAATTCGGGCCACTTGCTAGTTCAGGTAAGTATTTTACTTGAAAAGGTTAGATGTGTAAAATTAGTTTTCATGTTGCCTAATGCCAGTTACTATTTAAAAGAATGACATGCAAGAGTCTCCTACAGCCAGGTGCAGGTGCCCGGCCTCCCAGGGCAGCAGCCACAGCTCACCTCCACCCCTTGAGGGCCTGGGGCCTGTTGTCCTGTACAGGCTATTCTATGGCTTTTCCCAGAGCAGCTCTCCACACAGCATGCACTTTCACTGCCCTGAACAGAAAGCAGGCCTAGAATAAAGGAAAGAGTTGTACCACTCTGCAAAGCAATTGCAAATTGCATGTCAGAATTTTCACAGGCTGTTTAGAGTTTTGAAGATGGGCGTGGTCTGGAGATTATTTATGATGATTGGTAGCTAATGTCATTACTCATATTGTATATTCAGTAAGAAACAGAAGGTCGGCCAGGCGCGGTGGCTCTCATCTGTAATCCCAGCACATTGGGAGGCCAAGGCAGGTGGATCACGAGGCCAAGAGATCGAGACCATTCTGGCCAATGTGGTGAAACCCTGTCTCTACTAAAAATACAAAACTTAGCCAGGCATGATGGCATGCACCTGTAGTCCCAGCTACTCGGGAGGCTGAGGCAGGAGAATCACTTGAACCTGGGAGGTGGAGTTTGCAGTGAGCTGAGATCACGCCACTGCACTCCAGCCTGGTGACAGAGCAAGACTCCATCTCAAAAACAAACAGAAGGTAATGGTATCAAGCAGACAGTCTTTGAGGGGGGCATGTAGATACAAGGCAGCCCTGAGACTGGAGAAATGCAGGTAACAAAAGTGGACACATTTAACGTAAACAGAGCAGGTAAACGAATTTTGTTGTGTGTTAGAGTTGTATTACTTCTGTTGTGGCAGATTAAATTTCATAAATTGTTTTCATTGGAGCTGCTACAGCATGGATACTCTTTTTTAGATGAGATTTTACTCTCTAATAGGATTTGTATATCAAATAATAGCATCTTTGGTATAATAACTCATGGGATTTGAAATGTGCTTGTCAATTAATGAGGATTGACTCAGAACATTCTAGGCCAATGAGAAACTGTGTTAAAAATTAGATTTAGGCCCTGCCTTCTAGATGCTTAAGATATTTAGGATGATTATTAATTTTGGACTTTGTGATCTGTCTCAATTTTGAAGAAGATTATGAAAACCTCTTTTAGTCATAAATGATGCAAAATTTTCCCATGTGTCCTGTTTTGGCTAGGAAGACTTAAGAAACCTTATTTTCCATCCTCCCAGTGTTACCGAATCATTCAATTTTTTCCCTCAATGAAAATAGTAATTTCTGATTATAGAATGATTATATTTCCTATTTAAAATGCTGAAAAGTATAAGGCAGAATATAAAAATCACCTGCAATATTTTCACCCTGAGATAACGCCTCCAGTATTTTATATACATAAATATAATTTAATAGAATTCGCACTTTTTAAATAGCCTGTTACTTTTAATAGTCACTTTCGTTTGTTTTCTATCATCCTGTTCCTTCCCTGTTTCTCATTCTGGTTCATCCATTAAGCTAACATTGTTCACACTGATGTGTTCAGCACCTTTTAATACACACATAGGATTTAACAAGTGGAATATTCTATGCGTTTCTGTCCCCTCATTTAACAATACATAGTAAAAATTCCTTGAGTCAACCCTAAAGACTTGCTTAATTCTTCTTAATGACTGTATAATATTCTGTGATTAGGATATATCTCAGATTCTCAGCCATTCCCATATTGAGATACTCACTCCGTTTTAAATTTTTATGTAACAGCTTATGGGATTCTTGTCTAGTTAATCTCTTTCCAACCCCATCTTATACATATATAAATTACTGTTTGCTGTTTGTATCAACTATATCACTGGTGTGTGTGCCTGTGCGTGCATATGATCTGTTGGTATGAAGGAATATTAAGTGTCACTGTGACCAAAAATGTATCAAATCAAGAAATGGGACCTCTGGTGTACACATACAGTATATTACTCCCCGTGTTACTCTTTTATTTCCCTTTTCCCTGAATTCAGCATCCTCAAGTACAAACTGATTCACCAGGTCAGATCCCCTCTCCTTTCCTGACATTTGTGTCCCCCCCCCCCCACCAGGGGGCGCTACAGAACTTCCTCCTCACTGCCCACCACCACATGCCACCACCTGTTGGCAGTGGGCTCTGTAATTATCTCCAAAGCCTTCCTTGGAACCAGCCTAAGGCCTGCCATGGGTGGCCCACACCCCTGTCTAGCAGGAGAAAATGGAGCCCATTATTGCATTTATCTGAACTTAAACTCCGGCTGTAGTCACCAAATGCCATTTGTATCAACTGTATCACTATGTGTGTGTTTACAGATTTGGGGAGGAAGGAGACATTATTTTAGTCTTTGTCATTTGCAGAATCCCCTGAATGGGACATTCCCTCATATTTAATGAAAACAAAAGCTGTTTTGTATCATACGAATGATAAAATGTAAGCAACAAGATTTCACTCCTAGAGCAGATGAAAGCCTCTGCTCTTGTGAATGTGTAATGCTGACTTTTCACCAGCCGGTTCATGTGCAAATTCAGCCAGACAGATCTGGCCACAAGCAGAAGTGTCTGTTTACATCAGCTTTCAGAACCTGGCAACTCCAGCTCAGGAGCCTTTTTTTTTTTTTTTTTTTTTTTGGAGACGGAGTTTTGCTTTTGTCACCCAGGCTTGAGTGCAATGGTGTGACCTCAGCTCACTGCAACCTCCACCTCCCAGGTTCAAGCAATTCTCCTGCCTCAGCCTCCTGAGTAGCTAGGACTACAGATGCACACCATCACACCCAGATAATTTTTTTTGTACTTTTCGTAGAGACGGGGTTTCACCATGTTGGCCAGGCTAGTCTCAAACTCCTGACCTCAAATGATCTGCCCACCTCAGCCTCCCAAAGTGCTGGGATTATAGGCGCGAGCCACTGTGTCTGGCCAGGAGGCATTTTTAAAGCAGCTTTTTTCAATGGAAAAAATTAATAAATTACTTCTGGCTGAAATAAGAATAAAGTAATATCTGCCAGCCAAGGAGAACATGATGAGGGCAAAAGATATACAATCAGGCAATGCCTAGTGGCATGTCTGCTTTTCCTCTACGACTTTCAACCCCAAGAACCTCAGTAGCTTTGGCACACTTTCTGGGGACCTCATATTACAAAACTTTGCTTGCTTTAACATCTGGCACAGCATTAGAGTCATCTTATTTTCCGAAAGCAGCTCCATTGGACCCACTGAAAGGGTGGAAAACATCTTCCAAAGCTGGACCCTGAGGTTGTACAGAATTTGGGAAACTAGAATAAAGGGAAAAGGATGTTGAACACTCAAGTGGGAAATAAATAATGTGTGTTTGGGAGTGCTGAAGAGGTAGAGCTGTCTAGAGTAGACAGATTCTGCGTGGGAGTCTTGGAAGGTGAGATTCAGAGGGTACAGCCAGGGGTCTCAAATCCCAGGCTGCCAAGAGTGCACTTGGGGCAACAAGGAGCAGTTGGAGGTCAATGCATAGGGAGGATGAGATGAGATCAGAGTGGCAGAAAGATGGATGTGCACAAAACGTTAAGCTGATAAAGACCAAAAAGCTGAAAAGTGATGGGAGGAGAACGTATCTCCATGGTACATGACAGATTGGAGGGCTAAGATCTCAAACGCAGCAGCCCCAGTTAAGAGGCATTGCTGTAGTTAGATTTTTTAGACTGATTAGAGTGGAGATAAAGGAATGGGTGTGAAGGAAAAGCTCCTGCAAAGCAGATGGACTAATGTTGCTTAGAGGAAAAAATAACAATGTGTAGCTTTGGAAGGTCTTCTTTATGTTGTTTTTTGTGTGTGTGTGTGTGTGTGTGTGTGTGTGTGTGTGTGTGTGTGTGTGTGTGTGTGTGTGTGTGTGTGTGTATGGCTGTGTGTGTGTGTGTGTGTGTGTGTGTGTGTGTGTGTATAGCTGTATGCCTGCCTAGATGTTTATCACCTGGTGGCTGAAATTAAGAGATACTCATTTCACAAGTTTTGTGGCATGGCTGCTATGTGCCAGGCATGTCTGGGTGGTGAGCAAGACAGGAGAGCTGCCAATAGGCACCTACTTTTTGGTGACCCCTGTGTCTAGATAATAGTATTCCAGTGCCTGTTCTTCTGCAAAATTATGCTACTTCCACATACCCAACATTGCATTCATTTCTGCATGTCAGACATGTAATAGCGTGTTGAGAAGGACAAGATGCTCCAAGGAACTGGGTGCTGCCACCCAGTCAAGTCAAAGTGTGACTAGTTCCGGGCTGGAAAAACTGGAGATTCGAGTCTGTCTGTAAAGCCCTAAGAGTAAAGCAGGTTAAAATGTGCGTGTTCACAGAACTCCAGAACACTAGAATTTGGGGGCAGCTCCTTGGAACTTGGAAAAAGAGAAATACAGGCCAACTAACAGGCAAGGCTCCTAAATGCCAATAGTAAATTATACCACCAAGCAGGTGGCACAGATGGAAAGAGGGACTTGTCAGTGTTGCTCTGGAATGGATTATCATGAGGTTCATCTGTGACCTTTAAAGACCAACAGTCAGGCAGGCATGACACAGGAGCTGAGGGAGACTCCTGGAGTCACCTCCATCTGAAAGACTATTTTGGTCTTCCTTGTGCCCTTTCCTGGAGAACAGAGAAGAGTCTTCTGTTTATGTCACAATCACAACCGTGCCCAAATTCTCCCGGTGTCTCCTTTGGCCTCTGTGTCTTGAGAACATCATGTACAAAGCTGCTTTGCTGTAATTGAAGGAAATCTCGACGTACTTACATTTACAGCTAGGTAATTTGTAGGTGTACAGTGTAACTATTAAAGCTCGGTTTGACTTGAACTTGTATACCTATTTTTTGGATTCACTTGTACTTCCAATTGGTTTTTTCTTTATAGCCTGACCCACTTGATTTTGAATTCAATCCTTAGAGAAATGTATTCTTTCCCTGCTTTAGATATCCTATATTTGAAGTCAGA